TTTCGGTTGTCTCGACAGCAAGGGTCTTTAGCAGATACACAGGTCTCTTACAATACCTGTTGCAATGCCCATAAACTCTTGACCCGATTAAGATCGCCTCTTGTTTGGTCCAAACACTCCATACCGACGGTCCTTCAGGTTTGGTCTAACCTGCAATGGATTGGAGACTTGGCACGTAACCATGACGTTCGCACGAAGCTTGACAGGATTCAGAGGTGGAGAAACAAGATCAGAGCTGATGCTCAAACAGGAAATGCGTTCATTTTTCGCCATCTCAGGAACCGAGCAAATGATGAACCTGCCAATCTCTTACAGGACGACCAAGGGAACATCATTGTTGATCCAACTCAATGTCAAGCCATTGACACATTCAATAATGCCTGGGATGAAGTTTTTGCCTGTAACATCACGGCTGAACATCCTTTGAAAATGTTGGAAGTCATTTGGCCTTATATTAAGGATCACACTAAGCAATTTGAATGCCCTCCCATCGATGCACATGAGCTTTGGCTGACGGTGCAAGCTCGCAAGCCACAAGCCGCCCCAGGATTCGATGGATGGAGGACACAAGAACTTCAGAAGTTGCCTGAGGCTTGTTTTAAGCCCTTTGCTGAGGTTTTTGCCCAACTAGAACTCACTGATGAACCCCTGCCTACCACACTTACATGTGCACGGCAAATGATTCTGAACAAGAATGGTTCTGCTCACCCAATGCAGAAACGGCTCATTACAGTTTTGCCGATTTTGTATCTAGCTTATTCAGGGGCAAGGTTTCGTCAGCTGCGCACATGGCAGATTCAATCCATGCCACGACAGTTGGTGGGAGGAGTCCAGGGTAGAAATATGTCTTGCATTCAAACCCATTTAAAATTGGACATTGATGTTGCTGAATCTCAAGGTTTTGACCTGATTGGTTTGAAGCTCGATAAAGCCAAGTGTTTCGACCGTGTCATCCCTTCTTTTGCTGCAACTCTTATGTTGGCTTTTGGGATCGATCGCAAGCTCGTCTCGATTTTTACCAAGCTATATGATGGTTTGCACAGACACCTCAGTTTCAAGTGTTGGTGTTCACCCGTTGCCACTCATGCAGCAAACGGGATTGCACAAGGGGACAGCATGTCACTTGTTGCAATTAATGTATACTCCAAGGTGTGGATCATCTTCATGGACTTGCTACCTGATGTAGTGGCCATGGCATATATTGACGATTGTTACCTCTGGGCTCGCCTTGAACACGCTAGTGCACTTGAAAGGGCGGTTCAAATGACACGCTTCTGGGACCAGCTGTCTGGCCAACTTTTGAATGATTCCAAATGTGTGGTTTGGGGAACCTCCACGAGTGCAAGAAGAACTTGTAAAGCTTTGTGGCCTGACATGTCGCTTCAGTTGGAGATTGAGGTTCTTGGTGCAACTATCCCCACCTCAAAGCGCCTTGCCTTCCATTTCCCTGAATCTAAAACCCAAGCCATTGTCAAGGAGATCAAGCATATCAAAGCCCTTCCCTTGTCTGCTCAAATGAAGTCTTTTTTCATTGGAGTGAAGGTTATTCCCCGCTTTTGCTTCGCCGCTTCTCTTAACCAAGTGCCTAAGGAAGCTATCAAGAGAATCCAATCGGAGATTGTCCAAACCATTTGGGGTCGCCGACCCCACTGGCGAGCAAGGGCTCTCGTGATGGCTTTTATTGCGAAGCCTCATCAAAATGACCCGCAATGTGCTAGAGCATACCACACGATTCTAGAGTTCGTGAGGTTCCTTCGCATGCCTGGAAATGGGCTGGACAAGGTTTGTTGGTGCGCTAGCTCCTCTCCTCACGAGCATAGCTTTGTAAATCGTATTCAGCAAGCGTTTGCTTTTTTCGGATTTCAACTTTCGGACACATTGCGAATTAGCTTTGCTGGAAAAGATTTGATGCCAGTGTGGGACCTCACACCCAAGGACATCAAGCCTTTGCTCCAGAGGTTTGCCAGGCATAAATGTTACCTCGATGCCGCCAACCAACATCGAAAGGATTTCCGAATGCCTGCTGGGATTCTCGATTTTGACCTCACGTGTGGTCTTCGTAAGTCTTCCCAGCTTCAGATGAGCTCCGATGTGCCGGTTGAAAGCCATTTCCAGTCCCAGCTGGTGGGGTGTACCCTCACGCGCGATAGGCTTTTTGCTGCTTCTCTCGACTCATCTGACAAATGCAGATTTTGTGAGGGAGTCAAAGAATCCCTTTCCCATCTTGTCCATGACTGCCCGGTATTTTTGGATCGCTTCCCGCCTCATCCGATTCATGAATACGGACCCAATTTTGGTCTCCTTGGAATTGTGGAACACCCCATTGGTGTCGTCAAGCACAGATTGGGATGGTCTGACCCCGCACAGGTTCCTGAACGAGATTTTCATTCTGATGCACCACATGCTGAATGGTGGTCGGATGGTTCCATTTTTTGGTCGGACATTTTCTGGCTCACCTCCGGGGGTTTTTCGATCGTGGACCAAAATCACCAAGAGGTTTTTGGGGGACCGGTCTACAACCTGGGCCTTTCCTCCTACTCAACAGAGTTGTGGGCAATGGTTGTGGCCGTACGAAGTTGTACAGGCCCGACGACTGTTTATACAGACTGCCAGACGGTGGTGAACCAGTTCCAAGAGCTTCAGCTGAACAAAAGTCCTGATCCTTCTTGGTCGCACCTTGCATGGTGGCAAGCCATCCACGACAGGTTGACTGAACTTTCCCAACTTCACCAGATTCCCTTTCAAGCTGTTTGGATCCCGTCGCACTTGTTTGAACATTTGCCTGAAGAATATATCACGGAATCCATGGCTCGATCGAAAGGCACAGAAGTACGTCACATCATGGGTAATCGTTTTGCGGATCGTTTTGCCAAAGATCATGCACTTGAGTGCACCAGTGTTCACCCAAAAGACGAGTCCATGCTCAAGAAGTCGATCATACAGCGTCAGGATTGGCTTGCGAATCTCAACATGCAGGTAGCGGTTCTGCAAAAGCAAGACCTTGACATGAAAATGGAAGCGAGATTGGAAGCGGAGGCAGAATCCGAAAATGTATACTCTCTTTTCCCGCATTGGGAGTGGGATCTCACAGCCGATAGCTTCCCATGGAAACCAGGTGTGTCCGTGTTTTCCGTCCCGCTTCACGACAAGTGGAAGGAACGTGGTCCGAGCTGGCGGGTGTTGGGCAGTTTCTTTGATACCCTCCAATGGAGGCTCCATGAGTCTGCTTTGACTTCCTATGTTGAACTGGCGGTCTTGTTTTACCTTCGGGGCTTCCTTCTGCCCGAGCACGATCCGGAGCAGAACACCTTTAGAGATCTCACGGGAGAGATTCGGCAGTTTGTTGCCCATATCCGTCTCGTTTCAGATGCAATTGTCCCTGGAGTACATAACCGACATCGCAACAAGAGCATTGGTAAGTCATTGCCGAATGGCACGATCGATGGGGCCGAAGTTTACTTCACAAAGGCCGAAAAGATTCGTTTTGCTCAAATACTCTCAGGAGTCTCAACAGCCCGGCTTTCGGCATGGGAGTTCACTTTTAGCAGCGCAGAGTCTTAATTCATCCTTTCATGTGGACCTCACACATGTGTTTCGGGTGCATGGCAGAATGCCTTGTACACCAGTCGTGACCGCATCGACGCGTCGGGAAGAAGAGAATAGACGGCTAGGGAGGTTTTGACCCACAGCCATAGAATGTAGTGGGATTGCACGGGCCCGTGCATCTCTACTGCAATGCTGCGCCCAAGCATCGTGGTGAGCAAGCCAGGGAGAGAAATCCTCGTTTCCAGGCCTCTGCACGTGCCTGCGAAGGCTGAACAGCACATTGTGGGATGCTTTGCTCCTCCAAGCCACGCCAAAGAGTACTGGTTGTGTTCTCCATCTTACATATGATGCCGGGGGCTGCTTCCCAAGCCAGGGCTTGCAGCTAAGCTGTATCGTGGTACCCGACGACGGCGGGCTCACTCTCAGGATCTTGTCTGGGGAGCACTCGTACTCACAACTGAGATACTCAAACTTGTTTTGTTCCCACGATCTTGCTGGGCTGGAAAGCGGCTCTACAAGCAGCACCAAATCGTCTACGTGAGGCAAGATGAGCAGAAAGCCCACCAGGCACCTCTTCGCTGGCTCCCCAAGGGAGAACAGATGGTGATCCTATGTGGTCCTTGCTAAGAGGCTTCGCGCTGACGAATGGCAGGGTCGTAAGAGCATCTGTCGCCAGAGAAACGCGCAGGACCAGCGCAAAAGAAGCTGGGTTTGAAACCAGTGTGAAGGCCTCACATGGCAACTGCGCAAGACCGATCGTTTTCACACCCTTACAAACTCTTTTGCCTCGATGGGCGGCGAACATAGGAAAACCATGGAACTTCCTTACAGCTAGTAGCACAAACACAAACTTCCATTACCTCGGCTAGGTGAAACGTTGCCTCCAAGTCCTTGAAGCTGGAAGATGACAGTCACAAAGCGCTGCTAGCCAAGTCTGTTCCGTCCGCAAAGCGCTGCTCATCGATCCAAAAACAAATCATGAACCGGCCACTGCGCCAATCTGCTTCTTCCAGGTAGCCCACATGCCAGCAAACAGTGCACTACATCAACCTCTATGTGTTTGGTCACCAAGAATCCGATCGCTAGAGTAATAATATATAATTCCATAGTGCCACTGCATCCAAAAACATGGGCTGTCCAGCTTTTCAAGAGGATACAGCAAGTCAAGATTTACTGTGCAATGAGATACACGCAAGCACCTGGATCTGGACTAAAATATGCGGACTGAATGGTCTAGGCCACGATCATCCCATCAACAGTGGCGTCTGCATCAACACCCGCTTCAACAGGAAAATTGACAAATCGTCTGCATTTCGTATGCAGCTCCAAGGCCTACTAGGGCCTTCCAAGATGTTGTTTGGCCCCTAAGGTCTCTGGTTTCTGGCTTTCAAGCTTCGAGCCGCTCAGTTTGAAAACAAGTCAACTCCCCCAACTCACCAGCTCAGCAGCTCGGCCTTGTTGCTGTATTCGTTTCGCTGCAAGTAGATGCCAGACACACCCTGAAGCAAAGCACAACTGATGAAGCAAAGCCCGTCAACATCTTACTCCAAGACAGATCTAGCCTTTCAACTCTTCAGGTCTCAAAAGGAACTAATCAGAAGTGGCTCACAAGAATCTAGGCATGGACACGAGTCTCTTCTTAGCCAAGTTTGCGAGCCAGTCAATCAAAGCCGGCGTCTTCCCCGTTTTCGAATCGGCCGATCGGTGTGGCAAACCGCCTCCCCTCTCAAATACCCATCAGCTGATCGGTCATAGGTGAAGCAGCGGCCCTGGAAGGAGAGCATGCCACCTGGTGAAAGAGATGGACCAAACTGTTACCCAAACCATTGATGGGTAGACCGGCCTGTTTCCCTTCTTCCAGGCATGTGTCTTTCTTTGCCAATGTCAATGTTGTCGCAAGAATCCCAATACAGTGAGGGGAAGATCTAGATGTAAACTGTTTTTGGCATGACCCAATCATGCCCATGGCATTTCAAGGCTCGTGCCACCACAGCAAGAGAGGAAGCCAAAAGGGCTGTAAGCCTGAACTGGCCGTGAGCAACATGTCCAAAGTTCTTTTCCTGGTCTTCAAACCGGACACTATTGGAACTGGACCTTCTTTGATGAAATACGTAATGTTCACAACAGTACTATTCGGGACCTCACTGAGTCTTCTGCCAACTGCGTGCCACAGCAAATGGAACCCTCCAACGGATCGAAGTCTTTGTACTTGAGATACAACTTCCCGGTGTGCGTGGCCTCAGTCTCCGAATCCATTGCCGTGAAATGGTACGATGTTGTACGGGACCCCAAGAGTTTCGGAGGTTGGTCTTTCTTGTGCCATTTTGCCGCTTGCAATCACAGAATTAGGAACTTGCAAGAGCTGCCATGAATTCGCGCCACCGCTTGTACGGCTCATCTACAAGCTCTCTCTCTCTCTCTCTCTTCCAGATGAGGCCGTTCCTTACACAGCTGGCCGCTCTTCGGCCGCGTGTCGCCTATGCCGTGCAAGCGCCTGGACGGATGTCCAGATACTCTTGCACTCTTGGATCATTCAGATCCCACTTCTCAGGCTCCGCTCGAGTCACTCGCAAGGGCACATCCTTCACCTGCCGGAGTTTTGGGTCGAGATGACGGGAAAAGGGAGAAAAGGCACTCCTGGTTTTTGCCATTGGCCACATGGTTATTGTAAGAGCGCAACTGGAATATGAGCTGGATGTACAATCCAAGTTGGGCTTCTGACCACTTCTCCTCTTTGGAAAAGACCTCCAAAAGTGCTTTTGTCTTCCAGCTCCTCCCGTGCCATGAGGCTGAGCAGTGTTCAAACGCCGCGAAAGCACGACCTGTACAGAAACACGAAATCGATTTCTATCTCTTGCATTCTTTTACTCGAGCTTGGGAGTCTGTTTTGGTCACTCTCCAGCCCCATCATTGCACACAATCTCCCAACATCCAGAGATCTGCGGCGCAGCCTGCTTCTTCTTGTCTGCTTTGAGCTTGGTCAGCAATGTTCGGACCTTTTTGGAGCTTGGTCAGCATGGCTCTGCTATGGGCGGGTGGGTTTCCTACACCCATACTTAGTGAAGTCGAGAAAGAATAGAAAGTAGATGAAAGTAGATGTGAGGCCGCCCAGTTTAACTTTTCAGCACAAGACACAGCGTGTCAGAGCAACCACGTGCCTCTTTGTCACCCGGAGCCAACTTGGCAGCTGCCAACAAGTCCTGCCCATGTGCCCATGGGGAAGATGCAATGTCGATCAGACAAGATCAGCCCATTTTTGCAGAACTGTGTCTTGGGCTTTTGTCCTTGATGTCCTCGGAGTCCTTGAGTTTTTGAGCATCGGTGTCCCTAGTAGCTTCTTGTTCCTAGTAGTACGGCCAGGAGCCCCTAGTACCGTCCTTGCTCCGTTCGTAGCGATGCCCTTTGCTCCTAGTAGTGTCCCCCCCCAGGTTCTCCAAACGAAAGCTCGCATCAACAGCATCCCTCCTGGATCGCTGCTTGTCGCTCGGTCGGCCCCGCTGAGGCAGGTCCAATCCGCGCTTGGGCCCGGCGATAGAGCGCCTTCACCTTAAGGAAGTGGTGAGGTGAGGGGGGTCTACCAGTCTACTTAGGGGAAGACAGAAACCCTTACTTGGAAAAAAAGAGGGGAGTGTGGCCTCTGATAGGGGAGTGTGGCCTCTGATAGAAAGGAAACGTAGATCTGATTGACTATCCTCACTGTTCTTCAGAAACGAAACCCACCTATCAAGCAGCTCCAAGTTTGAGCCAACAGTCAACCCACCAATCCAGGGCTTCACCTGCCAAGAGACACTTTCTGGGTTCACCTTGTTGAGCACCTCATCACAGGCCTTCTTCATATCATCAAACTTCCCCAGCTTTTGAGAAGCCAACGCAATGTTCCTGAGCCAAAACACCATCAAAGAGCATTTGTCGATGCACTTATCATCAATTATCACCCTCTTCCCCGAATCTCCTTCGCTTAAGCCAACAGTCCAAACCTCAAGCTCCTTCCTGAGGGAAACATGAGGAAGCAGCAACCGTCACGGTCATCACCTCTTTAAAACCCTTCAGATTCATGAAACCAGAAATCCAGTGCATCCAAAACGAGCATGCTGCAAGATACTGTCCGGTCATCCCTGGAAATCTTCCTAGGCGCAAATAGCAAGAGGTCACGAGTTCTGTCGCCTCCTGAGCCCCAACACTCTGCCCCTGCAAGGCCGTCTCGTCCACACGCAGGAAGTCGTCCTCGATGCCCTCGCGAACAGCACCAGCTCGACGAACCGGGTCGAATCGGCTCGACGAACCGGGTCGAACCGGCTCGCGGCAAAAGGAGCGTGGCTGCACGTCGATCCAACGCGATGGACTGAAGGAGTCCCAAAGTGCGCATCTGACGAGCTTGGAGCTTGGCCGGCTTGGCCTCCAGCCATCCGATTCAGCGTCCGGTCCCAGCCTTGTAGGAGCCATCGTCATTCTTCCAATCTGGACGAGTGCACTCAACATATCCTGAGGCTTGAAAAGTGTCATGATCTGCTCCTTTACACAATACAGGAAGGGTCCAAGCATCAAGGGCCAAGTCTAGCATCCCAGAGTTCAAATTTAAATATACAATGAAGCTCTGGGTTCTAGAGCACCTCAACATTCACCCTGCTTCAGAACAACAAACTGTTCTGAGGCCTCTGGGTTTGAGTGCAAGATTTGCTTCTTGTACTGTTGCCCAGTGGCTGAGCAATCCAGCTGCTTTTTCATATCGCCGCACTGCTTCTTCCAATCCCTGCTGCTCATCCTCCTCTTCCTCCATCTCCTGCTCCTGCACGGATAAAAATTATGTTTAAAGTTTAAAAAAAATGGTGCCGAAGTCGTCTTGCTGCGAAGCTTCCGTGACCTGAAACTTCAACTTGAAAGCACTCTTGATCACCCCAGACAACTTTCGCCACGATCTCATGCCCCTATGCCCTTCCAGTCTGGGACTGGGGTACAAGAGGTAGGTTGATCTCAAAAAATGAATACACTTACACAATGAAATTGTATGAATTTCTCCACATTCATGCAATTGAAGCCCAGCACGAACGCAAGAATTGCATGTCCGGAAGATCTGCACCACAGCCAACTGACGTCGACTTCTGTGACAGACGGCTGTTGAGGCCTGTGGACGACAGACCTGAGCTTTCAGCGCAATCAGGTGCTGTCGCAGCTCCTGGAGCAGAGATGAGCAGAGTACCAAGTACCAATCTGTCTGAAAAAGTGGGGAGCCTGACCCCACCCACCCCAGGGTGCTTGGGAAGTTCCTTGTTTGGAGCACATTTGAGCACCATGTTTTTGTTTCTAGACCTCCAAAATGTGCGAGACAAGTTGGAGAGGCTAAGTGTCAAGAGCCTCCCGAAGGAGAGATGACGTCCCGTGGGGTGCCGTCCTTCAACTCGCGCTCCTTCTCCCAAATGGCCGCTTCTACTTGCCTCATCAAAGGACTGCAAAAGGCTACAAGGTCGGCGTGCAAGGGGAAAAACTGCACGTCCTTGTGCAAGTTTGATCGAACTGCAGGGTACTCGAACCTGACCCGGCGGTTAGCATGAGATGGATGGATCAAGATCTCCTTTTTCCCCTGGAGGGCATGGTTTAGAACCCCTGGTGTTCATGTCCACCTCGTTTCCCACTGGATCTTGGAATTGAGTTTCTCCTGAACCCACTTGGCCACCCACTTGGAAAGTGGTTGGAAGTTTCATCTCCCACAAAGAGCCGACACCCACAGGCGGCTCCAGATCTTTCGATCACCAGGCGGCTCAATCTCTTGACTCAATGAGTCTGGCCCACTATAGCCCGCAGAGATCGGTCTCCTGATTCGATGAGCTCTATCGTGGTGCTTTCATGTGCTGCTCTATCGATTTTGTTCGGTTCTCACGAACAACGGACAAACGCCAGCGGTCTAACCCTGAAGAACCCAACAACAGCACCCGTGCCAAAACAACAGCTCAGACCAAGGTGTCAGGGTGTCCTGCTCGACTTCAAGAGGTTGTTCCCTTCCTCCTTCAGTTCTTTCGCATGAGCCATCTTTTCGGACAGGGAACCGCTCTTTCGTAGTCTTTGCACCTCCTTGTCCTACCAGCAAGAGCTGATTGTCAACACCATGCAGCTCTTGTAAGAGCTGGTTGCACTTCTAACATCTTCCAACAGGTGCAAGCACCGGCAAGCGCCTGCTCGCCATGGAAAATGGTGTTCTGGAAAAGAGATGGAAAACTGTTCCACATCTGCATCTTGTACTGATCTTGTGCCGTGCGCATGCCCAGAGCATGCCGCAAGGGATCTTCCATAGTGCCTTTTCCAAACTGCTGCCTGGCTTCGCGAGCCACACAGCCAATTGCCACGCACTTCAAGCATAGAATAGTGGAATCCAGTGGAAAGAGAGAGAGAGAGAGAGAGAGCGAGAGCGCCACTTCATCGTGAACCGATCTCTCCAACCCTATAGCAAGGTTCATCTGTTTCACTATCTGTGTTCATTGAAAATACATTCAATTGGGCCGTGAGACCAGGCCGCCAAGTTGCATATCGAGCTTGATAAGGCCAGGGCCGTCATGGGGATCGTCCTCCTCGTCCATGGCGACCGTCCGTGGTGATGGAGGTGATGAAGTGCAGAACTGTGATGCGCGATACGCTGAGAGAGTTCGTGTTGCTAGGTGAAAGGCTTTTGGTTATGGAACTAAAAGATACTAAAAGGCTGCTGGAGAGTGAGAAAAGAGAAATGCAAAACTTAAGTTGCTACGAGAATGAGAAGCTTGAGCCAGTGCTAGTCAGGTTCAGTGTCAACAAGAAAAACAATCAGACTATTCAACCAGTGCCAGCAAATGACCTTGCTAACCGTGTGATTGCAAAACCACAGCATGCCGGAAAAGCCTCGAGACATCTTGCCAGGCAACTTCGTGTGCATTGAGGCCAGTGCCACAAGTCCAGCTGAGCAAGCTGTATTGATGGTCTGACCTGAAGTAAGACCCAGAACCTGCAGATGTTTGGTGATTTTTCCTTTACAAGGGTTTTTGATCCCCTATTTTCGATATTTTCGAGCATCCCACACGCCGACACACGCCCATACCTTGCCAGAGACTCTGAGAATGCTGCTGGCACCCTTGAGGTTCAAGGAGAAATTCACCCGATTCGAGATGATCGCCTCTGCGCCTGTGCACTGCAAATTGTGCAGCCCATGCTGAGCAAAAGAACCAATGGCACAGGCAAGCCAAGACTGCACCTCCACAACCTGCTGCGTCTGCTGGGTGAGGTACCATACCCCTGATGCACCATGAATAATGTGTCGTTCATGGTGCAACCAAAGGGAAGTCTAAGCACAGCGCCACTCTGATCCGCTGACACCAACAAAGCAACCTAAAAGCGCAGGTTCAGCTGTGTCCGAAGTTTGAACAAGCAACATTGGTAAAAGAAGGGAATATATGTGTCACAGTTCAACAGGGAAGATTGGTCTCTTTGGATTCGTTCCTTTGGGCTGATCTCAGCTTTTGGCCGATGTGCTGTGGACTGCGCTTCAGGGAAGGCATGTCAATGCCTGGCTTCGGTAGCTGTCCAGCTACATGTCCTTCTTTATGGAGCTTGCAGTAGATTGCACATCTATATATTCTTCAGAGTCGAGGACCTGGTTCACTCTTATAGACATGGTGTGGTTGGTTGCAGATGGATGCAAAGGCTTTTCTTGAAACTGCCGGACGGCCTGCCATGTTGATGCTTTCGTACGCAATTTCCAGAGTCTGCCCGCAGGAATGAGCAAGGAAGTGGTGAACTGAGAATCCAGACTCTGTCCAAGATCCATCTGACATCAACGATCATCAGGGAAAACAACCCCTCATAACCCCTCATGCAATGTCTCACATATTGGGTTGTTGCCAAAATGCAACCTGCCTTGCGCTGGTTCGGGTCCATGGCTGCTGCCTGGCATGCGAGAAGATTGAGGATTGGTCTTTTTCAATGATGCCCGGAGAACACGCTCCTTGCTTGAAGGGTTCTTCTGGCACGTCAAAGTTGATCGCAGCTATTGTCGCCATTCCTTACCGCATGTGCCTTTGAATCTCTAATGGTTCGGTGCGCCAGCACTATCCAAAAAAAAGATCAGGAACCAATCAAGAAGCAAGATCAACAAGATTCAGCTTCCCCAACAAACCCGGCCATGCTGTGCCTCGGCAGCGGAGATGCCAAAGAATTTTGCGTCAAAGAATTCAATGCCATCGACATAGCCCTGCAGGGTCTGCTCGCAAGGCTACTATCAAGGTCTCGTGCCTCGGAGTCAAAATATATATATATATATACACTATATTATATAATATACTGTATGAATATTCAAGCCGCTCCACCAAACCAATTTTTTCCTCTTCGTGCTCACTCGAGGTCTTTCGTTGGATATGGGAACTTGGCGCCACCCGCTCTTGTCGTTGATATCCGCATCTAGCACCCATGCGTGTGCCCTGCGGACCTACAACAAGAGTTGCTCACCCGTAGAGTCGACACCCAGAGCATTCTCCCCCCGGTGGCCACGTTAGGGGCGCTCTGGTGTTGTAACTCTATCCCCCCCGCTGCTCCAGTGCGCCACATTGGGATGCAGGGGTGTGGGGGTTCGTCCCAACACGCCGGGATCAGGACGTGTCCAAGTTGCTCCCAAATCGCGGACCTCTGAAAAATTAAAACGAGAAGGGCCGTCTGCAAGATTTGACTTGCTCTCAACTCTTTCTATGTAGACAGATGCTTTCAGCCTGGCTACTGTCAGCCAAAAGTCCCCGACGATGGAAGAACTATCGACCTGGGGTGAGTAGCCGCGAACCAGATTTGCTGACGCGCTGTCGTTGTCACAGAAGAGAAAAACTGAGCGGTTCTGCAGGCGGGTACGCCAAGTTTCAAAAGCTACCGGGGCTGCCAGAAGCTCCAGCTGGCCCATAAATGACTTGCGTTGAAGCCATTTCTCAACGAGGGCTTCTGGGACGGGCCAGGCCGTGTACCCAGAATATTTGTCGATGGGATCATGAAGAAAGGCTCCCAATATTCGCTGCGGTACACGCTCGGGAACATCCGAGGCGTCTGTGTATAGCAGGATGGGGTTGATGTGATGAACTTTCAACTCACGGGATGGACTCGTGGAAAGGAAGCCCTTCATCTGGCGTAAAGCCAGGATGAGCTCAGCCGTCAAAGTCTCGACTGGATACGAGGCGTATTGTCTGCGACGAAGCGGCCCCGTGCAACAACGTCCCACGCGCCCAAAGAGTGTGGAACATAAAAATTGGAACTTCCCGACCAGGCTGCCTGCGAGGGCGGGAGAAAGCCGACCGGTACTCAAGACCCTATCAATGGTGTCTTGGAGGTAGGCCAGGCGAGTCTCCTTGGCCGCGACATGGATAATCTTTTGACTGTGTAAAGACTCGGTGTTGAAGCAAACTCCCAGGATGGCACATACCTCAGCCGGAGGTTGCGACTTCTCCGGGTCCAGCTGGAATCCGAGAACCTGAAATGTTTCCCTGAGGCAGAAAACAGCAGACTTGATGGTTGCGGTCGGTTCCACAACGAAAAAGTCGTCAAAGAAGTGGTCCGTGGTCGAAGAGAATAATCGTTGGATCACTCTCGCTATCCACTCTGCCACACGACAAAAATTTGGCACGGCATGGCCTGCCCCAAAGGGTTGTCCGTACATTTCGTGGAGCGACACCTCCTGCTGCTCCGGGTTGTAGACAGCTGTAATCGCAAAACGTACATCCTCTGGTGAGAGTGGGATCTGTCTGTATGCGCCTTTCATATCCTCGGTAGCCATCGAGATCTGTTCAACAGATCTGGCTAAAGCTCTACATAGGACGCCCACGTAGTCCACCATAACCATGGGTACCTTTTGCATTCGATGTGCTGCCTGATTCACTCCGGATGCAGTATGGTCGTCGATCCTTCTGTATTTCTTCTGACCCTCAGTGTCCTGTCCCTGTTCCAAGCCGAAACTCGGTGTGACCTGGAGAGGACCTGGATACAAAGACCTTGCCTGCTGTAAAGTCATGGCCGGGCCCATGGTGCCGGCTTTGACTTCCTTCTGGGTTTTTTCCCAGATGGCACAAGCCAGCTCGTTGGATCCTTTCTCTGCCATGAATCGGACTCGCTCAATCATTCGTTCCGATCGTTCACTGCAGCCTGCGATGAACTCATCTTGTGACATACTTGGGCTGACCTCCAATTGTTCGAAGAAAGGCGACTCATGAGCTCTGCCTGTGATCTTAAGTCCTTTCAAGCACAACCCTGGGACTTGCTTATCCTCGATGTTCAGGAGGTCCTGGAGACGTTCCATAAGGAGCGTGTTCACCCTGGTGCCTAGTTTCTTGGCAGTCCAAGAAGCGCCTTTATTAACTTGTGACTGTCCCTCCCTCAACTCCTTTGCCCAAGTTTTCAACATGTGCAATGCGTCCAACCTTCTAGAAATCAAATTCTGTGCGTCGACAAACTCCACGATTGCGGCGGCATGCTCGGGCTTGAGCGACTTCAGAGAATCGAAAGGGTGATCCAAGCCCTTTGCCAACCGCAGATGTTCCGCTGGGTCACAAAGTCCGTCAGCGATCAGTTGCATCCTCTTGCCGAAGCTGGGTTGACTCCCCGCTTCAACTGCGTGAGTCCTGTAGCGCTTCTGCGGCTCAGCAACATGCAAGAGATTTTCAGGAGGCCCTGAAATCTCAGCGCCCTGTTCCCGCTCAACCCTTGTTAGATTCGGTGTAAAGATTACGGGGTTCGTCAACGTCTGAATCTCCGAGTGTTCAACTCCAGGACGTCCCTGGGATTGAGCCCTCGGGGGGGGTCAATATTCCACTCCAGGGCAACTGCTCTGGAGAGGGGTGCGTTGGGCCCGGAAAAAACCTCGATGAAACTCGATGGGGAGGTCCCTTCGGTGAACGTTAAACCTTTTGCGAAAGCTTCACAAAAGGCCTGTGGGTACTCTCGTTCGTCGGCCGTAGCGAACGAAGACACACGACCGTTAACAACCGTGGGTCTCCAGGGCAAGTGCTTCTCCCTGGTACGAGAACAAAAACGACTGTTTTCACATGTGAGACCTACCCTCTCAACCAGGTTGGGGATATTGTGAATTAAAACTTGCGCCTTCCTACGTTTGCAGGGGCTGAACATACACGCATGATAAAAGGTGACTAGAACCCCGGGTTCCCTTTCCAGCTGCCTCCACTTGGTCAAGTGGCGAGCCAGAGAGTTCTTGGGGTTCTCGAGCGAAAAGTAGCGCCCACTTCGATGGGCGTCCAAGCACCTGTCGGCAGCAAGATTCGCCATGTCGGTATCGAGGGCTAGCTTCCGTCTTTTTGCTACCGGGAGGTGCTGGACTACGTCTGGAATCCCTTCAGGGAAAGATTCACTCCTGAGGGGTTCCGGCGGATTTGCCACTCCGGGGATAGGGTATTCCCTCGCCCGAGAAAAGGTGCAACAATTGGGTGCCCAGTGCTGGACTTCGTGTAGTACGAGTTCCGAATCAAGCTCAATCCGGTCTCGAAACACGTCCCTGCCCCGCAACAGGTCCCAAGGCCGCGCAACTCTTTTTAATCCTTTTCGGAAGAAGTCTGCCCTCACTCCAGGAACGGGAGTTGTGTCCGTCCTGGGGCGGGCGAATCCCTATGGCTTCTTGCCACTGCCTCCCTTGTCCTTCGCGGGGTCACTCTTCGACTTCGCCGATGCTGACTTCTCCGCCTTCTTCTGCTCCTTTTGGGCTTTCCTCCAACCAGGAGGGATCTCGCAACGAGGCTCGTGCCGCTTCTTGCAAATCATGCACAACCTGGCCTTATTTGCGTCGTCTGTCGTCTTGTCGCTCTGGTCGTCAAGATCGCGCTTCCGGCCTCTACCGGGATCTGCTCCGGCCGGCCCTTTCTTCTGCGATCCTTTCTCAAGCCCTTGATCCGGGAAAGACTCCGGTTGGGCTTGGAGGAGCTTCCATAGGCCTTCTCCATCCCCCAGCTCGGCGTAGTGGCGGAGCCCTGCACCCACCGAGCTTGCACCCTTTGCAACGACCTTCAGGACCTCGTTCATGATCTCCCTGTCGCAACGCCTGGCTTCGTTGATTGTCGGGGGCCTCATCCCATCTGGAACGGTTGCCCTCAAAGTGCCAATCAACTTTTCCTGATAGAGCATTGCATCCTGATGGAGAACAACTTCCATCATATGCCATGCCTTGGCCCTCAACTCGAGGACATCTTTCAGGGTCAGGATGTCGACAATCTTCGGAGTCTCGGGGAAGTCCTCATCCTTCTCGTTGAGGGTCAACTTCTTGTCGGAGATGACCACTTCCTTCTTATCTTTCGGCAACTTTCCAGCACGACGAAGCCTGCTCTCTGTCTCCATGTCAACGTATGTTTCCCATGGGAGATGCTGGAAGTTTCCCCCGGGGCCAAAGTTGTTTTGGACTTTGGTCAGGGTGTGCAGAGACGGCCTGTCTCTGTCCGACATCGGTGAGGGCATCCCAGAATTGATCGCCTTGTCCTCCAACTCCTGTCCCAAGGCGACCGTCACCTTCGACTTTGATCCTGGGTCCTCGCCTGCCATCCTTTCCATGTTCCTTTTTGCCACTTGATTTGCGTAAGCCCACAACTTGCGCAAGCAGCCTACGTCCTCCGAAGAGCGGTAGGTTTCCCAGCTTTCCACAGGATGCCTTGGAAACCCAGTCGCTGCTCCCCCATCCGGACGGTATGCCGCTCTGACTCGCAGTTGCTTCTTCAGGTACTCGTCGAAATCGGCGGCAGTGGGAAATCTGAAGGCCATTGCCTCCGAAGTGTTCACATTGTCCAAACCTAGAACCAGAAAATCCGATTCATGGACGTCGAACGAAGCTGCTGCCCTTCCGAACGCGATAGTGGACTTCGCGTCGGCCATGGCTACTTAGAATTAGGACTCCCACTCGGGGCGACTGGGTGTAAGTCCCACTCGGGCCGCAGAAAACTCACAGGGGACAACTCGTACGGACGTCTTCATCTAGCCGCACCTTCAATCACATCCAAACGAAAGGATATGGTTTCCCCCGTGGAACCTCCAGTTTTCTCATGTGAACTTGTAACCCCGAAGGATAGAGTAAACATGCAAACCGGGACCGCATGGCTGCATGGCTCAATAAAAATCAACCGGCGCTTTAATTTTTGCACTACGGTGTAAAGGTAAGGAGAGTTTCCTCCCTTCTCAGCGGCCATGGTTCTCTATCCCGCTCAGGCTCATGGCCTTTCTAAGCAGGTG